CTACAGTGTTAGGGGCGCAGGTGTCTGTGTGTTCAAACTAATAGACGACATTTGAATGAGAGCATATGCGTATCCAAGGAACGAGTGATTTCTCGCCGTTTTTGTCATCACATATGCGCGCATGGGATCAGACCATACTGTTTGAACTCCCTTTTGGAGACAGCTATTATCCCCCAACAGGTGGTTCCTATGCTTTTGTGTAGCTTCGTCGCACTTAGACACAGACAGCCGGCCACCACACATCCAGGAAAGCGCTAGACGGCCGTTTCGTCCTATTGGGACTCGTCAGTAGCGCGCACCCGCCGAATCCTGCCGGATTCGAACCCGCGACCTTATTCTTGCGAGTCAGCGACTTATGCCACTGAGCCATGGGCGATGGCAGCGGACCGCCATGACGGATATCTAACTGCGATATAGCGCGGCTCATCCTCCATTGTCTTGCATGTTATGAATGTGCAGAGGACAGGGCTGGCCCCCAGGGCAACGACTTCCTATGTTTACGGCAGTACCATGCGTTGATTCAACATATTGGTTCAGATGGGGAATTGATGCACGACGAAAAAGTATCAGGACCACTCTGAGATCAAATAATGAGTTTCAAATGTGTGAACATTAAGCTCTAGTGCATATTTTATATTGATAGCGTTACACCGCTTCGATGCCCTGTGCTTAATCCCCCGGGGGAGATTAATTCTGATCGGGCGCATGGATACCGGGTGTTGCCCGCCGAAAATACTGCACGCCACAGCGCGCATCGATCTCATTTGGTCTCATAAGGTTGAGATAGCCGGCACTCTAACCTGGGACTAATGGGATCACGACAGACAGCGCTCGGTACAACGGCATCAATGACTCATTGGAGGGATCATCTGGACGCACTCGTTGTGTGAATAGATTGGGACCCGCAATGCCACTCGGGACCGCGATTCACATTGAAGTGAACCCTTTGGTAATGCGATCACCGAGACCGTAGCCGAAGCAGTTGGAAATTGGATGTTCTCCGCCTGAAAATATTGCATATCACGACGCGTTTCGAATTTCATTCGATCTCATCGGATAGAGATGGTAGGCATTAACATGACCCCTCTAATTAGTTTAATTGTCTTTAGGCGTCTACAGACCGATGGCGAATAAAACGGTACACCGGGAACGATTACGATTGTTTTCTTCCTTCTCCCCCATTCCGCCTAGATTCCGTCATCCTAAGCCAATGGAATGCTATTTCTCGGCTCATTTTACTGCTGTAATACTATGTAAATAAAATGCATGTGAAGTTGCACTTAATACTTAAACATTGGCTAGCATTTTACATTAATTACGTGCTCGAACGGATGCTAACGGATATCTCCATTCGGGCACGTAAATTGATAGTATTTCGGCCTGAGTTTGCTTGGCCTGTCCTTGCTCATGGACAAGGAATTCTCCACTCATTTAACTCACTATCGCCCCCATGCGCCAGACCCAGCTCGCATCAACCGTGGTGGGCTGCGGCGATGCAGCTGACTCTCCTGAAGTGCACTTCTTTCCTGTGACCATTCTGATGACATTTTCATTCGCCTTTCTATAAATCGGTTATTTTGTTCATTTTCTCTCATCCTAGTGAACTTTGGTCATCTTACCTTATTTGTTAGACTGTAGTTTCTCAGTTTGCGTCACCGATTGCTGCCACTCAACACCTACCGGGCAATCCAATGGTCCGTCTCTAGTCACCTGTCATGGCTATTATATTTGAGGCGTCCCATGCACTGTGGGTTCTCTCAGGCTTTCCCAGCCTTATCTTTGCACGATAGCCAGTTGTTTGTGACGGTATGTTGTCTACCCAAGGTGTAGACGCCTTGGCCCTGAATGTTTGCTTAGGGCATTAAGGTTTTCAGGTAAGTCCGTTTTCTCTCCCTCTTCTTATTTTTTATTTCAAAGGTCCTCATGGTCGTATGGCAGCGAAGCATCAGTTCAAATGGCTGATGTACTGCTGTTGATGATGATGACTCCTTTTTATCTGCCTAATATGATCCGTAATTGGTGACGCAATTTCCAACGTTGTCTGACTTTTCCTGAGCGTTACAGAGCTCCACACCTGTGTTTCCGGTTTATATATATATATATATATATATATATATATATATATATATATATATATATATATATATATATATATATATATATATATATATATATACATATATATATATATAATGTGTTCAGAATGGTCGCTTTTGTAGAGGAATCCGTCAATTTCAATGGTCCATATAGAGCTCCTTGCAAATAAACTCTTCGTTGCAAACGTCCATTTTGTCCTTCCTAGACTGATCTGTTATGTTCACGCCCTCCAGCTCATTGAAAGTCCCGAACCGGTGGCCTCACTTTAAGTGAGTTTGTAAACCCGCAATTCATGCTACTGATCTGACCAGGTAGCTGCGTTGGTTTCCTATCGTCTCTCGGTCTTTACTGGTTTACCTCTTTCTACCGGACAGAGAACAGGATCCGGACACCACAGACTGAGGCCCCAACTATTCCTGTGCCTGTGTTCAGCTGTTTTAGATCCGACTTAGAAGCACTCCACCTATTTTCACTCTCCATTCCTCTCCCCCCTATCGTCTCGCTGGACTTTCGTATACAGTAATGGACTTATGCAAAGTTTACGGTAGAGGAGAATGGGCTACGCTTTGGCAGTTGAACTGTTCGCTGAGCTTAGCAATTTGGTTGCAAACGTTTCGTCCCCAGTCGAGGTGACATCATCAGCGCGAACTTGAGTGGTGTGCAGTAACGTAGAGGAGCCTCGGTGAGAGTGGTGCGCTTTAGCATCGGCACACATTCCTCAGTGGCCTTATTCATTGCCTTGTAGTAGAGCACCCATTGTTTCAGATGGTGCAGAATTGTGGCTCACTGTTGCACTCCTGACGAAACGGCTATCTAGCGATTTTCTACATGTACGTTACCTGAACACTTGTATCACGTTGGATTGAATCACATCGTTATGGAGGGCATGCTCTTTTGGGCAATTTTTAAAACTTATTCGTGAGGCTGTGAGAATAGGAGACTGTCCCAACAAACCGGAACCCCTCTGTTATTCCCCCGATTTTCAACGAATTCTCATGTTCGGAATGCGGCGGTCGTAGGGGAATCATTCTGATCCCGATAGCCTCTAAACTGTTTGCGTTTGTTGTTCACCGTGTACTGACTGACACCAGTGAAAGCCAGATTCGGGAGGATCAAGCCGGGTTTCACTGAAGTTGGGACTGTATTGATCACATCTTCACTTTACATCGGTTGTTGGAACACCACCATATTTATTGGCAACTCACTGTTACCCTGTTCCTCAACATCAAAGGTGCCTTCGATTCGGTGGATCTATGTCCTCTTTTAGACTGTCTGCTCAGGGAAGGTGTGTCCGAGAAATTCGTATTTATCATAAGAGCGCTGTACGCGCATAGTTCGGGCAGAGTGAGGGGTTATGGTAAGCTGTCGCGGAGTTTCAGTCTCCAAGTGTGAGACAAGGTTGCCCGCTTCCTTTTTCACTTTGCCATCGAGGAAGCTATGGAAAGTGCATTCACTGGGCACTACCTACCTGATGTGGGGCTGCTCCCAGGTGATCCACTTCTGTACTTAGAGCCGCCGACGACATTGCCTTAATGTGTAACGACTACCAAAAATGTCACACCGCACTGGACAAATCAGCTCTGATTGGCAATCGTTTCAAGCTATGCTTCACAGTTTGGAATTGCAATCCATTCTCCGAGATTGGCAGGGATTTACCCCAGCTATAAATCCTCCGGAACGTGAAGAATCCGGGCAGCTATATTGGCACTGGAACAGGTGATGAGATCACTAACCGGACAGCAAAACCTCAAGCGCCTTTTGCTAATCTTCGCCATCTACAGTGCCGGCGCGACATCACACTCGCCTTGAAGGGCAGAGTTTACAATGCAGCCATCCGTTCGACCCTACTGTACGGCCTCGAAACCCCGTCCACCAGACCTACAGGTTTAGTGAGGCTTGTTGCTTACGACGCCTTGGGGGAACATTGCGTGAACAATGAACGCGATCGGCGTCCCGTATATGGTATAGGAAAATTGTGTTAACCGTTTAATACGCTGGTCAAGTTTCCGATGCCATGATGAAGGCGGTTCTGCTTTATGCGTACGAGACTTGGTCTGTTTGTGCAACGAATCTTAAGAGGTTGTCTGTTTTTGATCACCACTTGATTCGAAGCAATGCCAGTGTTCGATGGCAACATCACACTGGTACGGAGGATGTTCGGCGAAGGATTTTCAGACCAGACAGACTTTAACTTCCGCTGAGCCGCATAATGTCTCCACGCAGACTTCAGTGGTTTGGGCATGTGCTTCGCATGCATACCCATGGTTTGCCTCGCCATGCTCTCTTCGCGCGCGCAGAAGTCGGCTGACAGCGAAAGAAAAGTAGCCAACGTCGTATGACTTGTGCCAGACGTATGAAGAGGGTAACCAAGTTTGCCGTGGTCCAGTGCTGTCGACCCCCTGACTGGGGGGCGCAATGATCACGAACACGCTTGGCTGGAAACCCTCTCGGATATGACAAGAAACCATGCGCAGTGACTGACGTGTTGTGACACACAAATCCCACGAGCACTGTTTTACAATCTTCCTCTTTTCTTTTGTTTGTTGTATTTCGCGTACGTCGCGGCACTATGCCAAGTGTACTATTGGCTGTGTTGAGTATATATATATATATATATATATATATATATATTCATTTCTACCCAGTTACATTAATGTTGCGTTATTTCTATTAAAACTCTAGTTTCCACTACAATTTTAATACCGATCATCTTATCCCGTTCTCCACACAGTGATTCATACTTGCGCGTCTCGTTTCTCCTCCTTACTGTGCGTCTCTCTACGTTACTCCAATTCCACTCATGCTTCCGCGTTCTTATCTTTCAGGGATTTCAACTTTATTGCGAAAGTACCCCATCAAAATCGGGTGGCTCCTTCCTCTCCTCACCCAAGCCCTCTTCTCCAATGGGCTCGATGACAAGGAGCGTTGCTGGCTCCACCAAGCTTGCTCGTCGATCACTCGGTAGGGTGCAAACTCCTTCCTTGCAAAGTGAACGAACTGACGATGTTGTCCGTCGCTCGTCACCGTTCACCTCCCGAAGACGACAACGTCAACAACTGGACGAACGTAGTCCACGTGAAGCGAAACCAAGACAACGGGTTCCAAGTGGAAAGTCTTCGGCGTTTTCCAGCCCTTACACTGTCCAACGTAGTCAGCCACTGAGCATTACGTTGCGCGCCATAGGTGTTGGTCTGACTTTATCCGCTGCCATTCGGACCACTGGAGCCACTGTTGGAGTCGCAACGAAGTTCCCTGGCAAACCCAGTCGATCCGGAAGTCTGCTCACTACCACTGTTCCTTCTATGTATGATAAACCGTTGTTGGAACACAGGGTGAGTTGTGTGAAGAGGCGTTTGCTTTCTCTCCTTCAAGCCCCATTGGCCATCCCATCTTAATTGAGTTTTCCCCTACGTTTCAGCTGGCTTTTCCTACTGCAATTTCACCTTCAGACACTCCTTTGTTCCACATGTCATAATTAATTTCCGCACCTATTGGCCAAGTTTCCGCATCTGCTCGGCGGTGCGATACGACCTCACTCGATCATGGTCAATGCATCACTTTTATAGGCAAAGAAAATTCTTTTCTTGGCAGATATCGAGAATATTTGTAGTCTGTCATACGGATGACTTTTTCCGTGTTGTCCGAAAACCATCATATGCTTTCAGCCGCATAAGTTTCTTTACATTTATTTACGTCCCTACGAGGACGCGCTTTACTTTGAAGTTATGGACCTGTTCTTTGGTCGGCAGCACCGTTCACGTATGTTGCTTAAAGAGAGCGATACGGCTCTCATTGGTCCAGCTGTTCCCGAACTTTGTTTTGTTTTCCGGTGGTAAAAAATCCCATTGGATGATTAAAAGTCGATGCAAGCGAACATCTCATTTGCGCGCACGAAACCCATTTCGTTCATTGGTTGTTTGCTGAATGACTCATCGTCGTCAACCTTCCGTTGGACGTTTCTCGTTGGTTTACTTGATGGCTGGTGTAATCGAATGCTGGACATTTACGCCTGTATCTGATGTGCGTGAACGCTCGAGCCCTTATCGTGGGTTACTCACCCCCTCTTCCATCTCTCCTTGACTCCAAAGGACCATTTTCCCATACCTACCTCCTAGACCCGTAGTGCTCCTCACGTGTCTCTTTGTGCTTTCTTGGATAATTCTTGTTGCGGAGTTCGCATAGCTCCGCCAAACTTGTGCAGGTTTTGCCAGACTCACATCAGACTTACAATTAACGTGCAGCGACTGAAACTGCGCTAATAAGAACCAAGCCGTACCCAGGACATTTGGGCCAGACCATAGCGAACCAACTAAGCTCTATTCAGGACATTGATGTAAGCCACACTGGTCCAACTGAACTGTTTGCTTGACGCTAACGTATCCATCCTGTCAAACCGCAGTGAACCATCTGAGCTTCTCAATTGCTGCGGCAGTTATCACACAAAACCATACTGACACTAACTGCAGTTCCCTCAGGACCTGCCTCTTGGCGACAACTCATGGGCGTTACCATCACCCATCTTTCTCCATAGTTAGGCATTACACTGCCATATGCCGAGCTATAAATATGAAGGTGTAGAAGGCATTCTTCGCCTTGACTGAGTCAGTAAAAGAACTTCCTTTCTCGTTCGATTCTTAGTGCTGTCGTACTAGGCAATGTGCGTTTCGGTCTCCACTCCCATCCCGCATGTACGTCTGGTGGCAAGGTCACGTTAGCCCACAACGTTCCGAATTCGATTGGCTACTGTGCGCGTGGGGTACTATCTGTGAAGAATCTTCGTCCGTTCCGACTAAGAGTCGGAACAACTTGGACGCGTTATAACACTTCTGACGTGAATAATCTGATCGGAGCAGTTTGCATCGTCGAATCCCTCCTTCCGTTGGGATTTTTGCCTCCGCTATTGTCACTGACAAAACCCCCAGTTTTGTGTACTATATTGCACCAACCAATAAGTACTCTCAGTTGTGCATTAACCGATAAGAGCACCCCAATATCATTTCCATACTAGTGTTTCTGCGCTACGCTGGGACGTCTCTCCGTAGGTACGACCCGGACAAACCAAACTCTTATGCTACAGCTTCTTGCATCTACGTCTTTCATTGTACCTACAGCAATCGCTACTTTTCCTTACTGAGGGGAGGCTGTTTATACGGAGCTAACAGCATGTCCCCCGCAACCTGTCCGCAATTTATCCTGCGCTATATGCGCTTCCCATTGCTGGACGCAAGTTCGGCCTTCGCGAGTATCACTTCGCTTAATGAACCGACACAGCGCCGCTACCTACGCTTTCTGGCTTATTCCGAACACTGGCCCGGGCTAAATGACCTCTGAACACTGTGATTTCACCAGCAACATCACTTTAAGTGTCCTCGCACACATAACCTAGTCGTTCCACAGGTTGTACCGGAGCGTACGAAGAACCTACGCAACACAACCGAATGTCAAATACTCTGTCGAAATGGGATCATTCTTCGCTAACTTGGATTATGCATGAGAATTTTTCTGCAAAACCCGATCATGAACTATTCAGCCAAAAACGAGCGTGCTCCGTATTGTTCCATGTCATCCACCTTTTGCACTGGCACGCTACAGATTGCTCAACGATCTGGTCGACATACTGGTGTACGCAGATGAAGCTGCCGATAACGCGATTCGTTGACAGTGTTCCCAGATCTTGCTTGGTTTTCCAGTCTCATTTTTAATATCGCCTTCCGTATCACTTACATCAAGATTTGTTCGGTATTCCTATCTTCTCCACCCCGTTAGAATCAGAGGTTTATCCAGACTTACTTGCTGTCTCATAGATTGCTTCACGCCTTGGATTTTCATTCAAACGAAACAAATGCGCTTTCTCCTCCCTTCCCCACTTCTTGAGAGATTCCACTGACTTCAAGTGTCCTTATCGCCTTGCTTGATCTGGATGTGTTGCGTGAGCACGGTCACTGGCCATTGATCACACGCATCGCTTTTGTGTGTGCGTGTTTTGGAAAAGTCCACTCGCTCTTTCGTTTTTATTTTTTGTACAAAATAAGCTTTTTTCTACAATAAGAGCCCATTCGATTAGGTATTTCACCGGGTATTTTCTCCGATCCTCTGGAATTCCACCGACACTACCATCGTGTTGTCGGTGTGACACTAGATATACCAGTAATGTGACCCATTCATGTTACGAACGGTAAAAACTACTCGGTGGTTATGCAATCATTCTCGAGCGAACTCTCGAAATTCATGCCGCAACGTATTTTGACACATTCTCTAGCCATAGTACTGGCGGCACCAGCAGATTGTCTAAGCACAGCACCTGCGAATTTCTGTATCTCCACTCGCAAGTGGTCACAACCGTGCATTGTTGTCGCCATGCAACTATTTCTCTGTACACATTCTTGTCTTATTTGTACCAGGCATTCCATTCAAACAGCTTCACAAGTCTTCTTCTATTTAACGAGTCGTCCGACGTTTCACCAGGGCCAACCTTTAGGATTCAATGAGACATGGTGTGAGAACATATTCGTTTCATAACTAGCTTCCCTCCGGAGTGTTTGGCGAATGTTTCTCTGACTTCTACTCTTTTGCGCAACCAACCATGTATTCGAGGTCTCACCCCTCCGTCTGCGCACTCAACATAATAAGTTGATGGCTAGCCGAACAACTTCACCGTGGTGCCAGCTGGGTGGTTCGGGTTTACCTCGTTCCAGCAAATAGTTCGGCAGCAGTGTTTCAGGACGTGGTGGGTTTTCGCTTGGTAAGCGTTCTCCCTAAAATGCCACAAAGGTCCGTTTAACAACAAACACTGTGATGTGGCGGTTGTGACTCGCCGCTAAATAAAGTCACTGTCCCTTGCTTCACAATGGCGAAGCATTGTATACTAGCAACTTTATGCTCATCCGTACAGTCATTGTAAATCCGCGGACGTCAAACATCCCTTTAGCATTGGCGACACCTTCAGACACAAGCAATGGCAGCAAAACCTTTACAAAGCTAAGAAACACAGTTACACAAGCCTACACGCACGCGTAAATACATTCATGTAGCAACATATATGACACTTTTATGGCCATCCCATTGTACATTCGTTGATCGTCTGTTCAGGCGTGCCTCGCTTAGCCGAGAATAAAAGTTTATTTATTTATTTAAAGTTCTGGTCATTAGCGTTAGAAGAGAGTTTTTCTCGGTTGGAAAGGACGTCTTTACAAGGCCACCGTGAGGATCACCCTACCAAAGCATGGAAGTTAAACTTGACCCCTTCGGTCTGAGTCGTTTTATAGTCTTCGATCATCGCTGCCTGTTAAACATTGTTGATGTCGGATTGCGCCAGCGTGTCCGCAACGATGATATGCGTACGCAAGTGCTAGGCGAGTGTTAGCCAGTGATCATCAGACCATACTTCCTTAGGACAACAGATAGCACTGAATAAGTTGCGTTGGCTTGGTCACCGTTTACCGAAGAGGGTCTTGTTTTATCTGCCAGATGTAGGGCGGCGCAAAGCTCTAGATGGACCAAAGTTGACTTGGCGGTGGAAAATGAAGTCACTGACAGCCAGACTGGGTGCCGTCGGTCCCTCTCGTCTTGCAGGCTAGAGTCCATGTGACTCGCCTTGTGCTTGGCTCGAGATGTTACAAGACATCGCTTGTAGTCAACACTAGTGGCGTGTCTTCTGTCGCCTCCTACTCGGATTGTCTGTTTAAAGTGTGTTTGGTCCTGAGTTATCAGCGGGGTACTGTCCGATTAGGACGCGGGGCAATGAAATCCACAAAGAAGCTTTTTTGCCGCTGCCGCCTTATCTTTGCACGATAGCCAGCTGTTCGTGATGGTATGTTGCTGGTAGAGTGCAAGCGCCAGGTCCCTCTTCTCTCTCTCCCTCTTATTGTTCTTCGGTTGTACGGCAACGAAGCAACACAGTACGAATGGCTGGTACCTTATTGCTATTTTTGACAATTATGCTACCAACACTACGCAGCACAACCACGTTAACCGTTACCTTCGTGTCCTTTGAAACCGATGCAACATCTTCGAGAATTCCTCCTTCTCATCAGAATTCCATCTACTTTATTCTAATTCTTGCCCTCTGCTCTTAAGGTTGTCTGCAGCTCTCTGTATCGTGCGTAGCGCAGTTGGATAACGCTTTCCCTTTTGCGTCCCACCCCCACTTCTAACCGTTAGTCATTTCACATAAATCGTTGTCCCATTGTGCTTAATCTCCACTCTATCATGACACGCTGTGAATCAGCGCGACCGTGCCTTTGCTGATCACCACCCAGTTCACACACACTGTCACTTGACTGGGCGAGCTTGAATTCGACTTTTCCAGTATTTCGTGTTGTTCTCTTTCTCGGTTTCGCCAACCTTGGCCTCACAACATTCGTTTTACCGAAATCGCGCACCTTTTGCACCATGCGGACAGGTGTGTGCTCTTTTTGTGTGTACCTGTGTGTGTGTGTATGTGTGTGTACATTGTCTCCCTCACGACGTCAATCCTGATAACACCGTTTGACGCACAGACACACACCGACAGTGTGCATCCTTTCCCGATCTCCTCCGCACTTACATCCGTCTCATTTATGGTTGGCTGGACGAGACCGCGATTCGCATTGGCTGATGCGTCGCGCATCATATGGCCCTGGACCGACGTCGATGATGATGTTGGTCGTGATCATCGTGTGCACACAGCTGATCGGTTATTGGTGCACCGTTCGCGCGAATCAGTTCTCAGACTCTACCACTTGATGCTCAAATCTCTGTTCTTCACTAATGCAATCCTCCGCGTTGATCCTGTGCGATGACGTCAGCCGATGGTGATGTGCTTTCTCACACTGACACGTCCACATGAGGTGTTCTCATTGGCCTCACATCCTCTTACTACTTTGTTTCGCAACGGGCTATGTGTTGTCTGGCGGCTGTCTACTTGGGTGCAAGTGTTCCGACGAAGACGATGCGGCCATATGTTGTCTGCATCCCGTGCTCAATACAGATGTCAGCAACCAGACCATTCCTCCCCCCACTCCTGCTCAGTCGAATGTTTGCCCGGCGGCGGCGGCGGTGGTGAATGATAACCATGTATCCGAATGGCGACACTGGCTCCACAATGCGTCATGTTTGCCATCTTGGCGGCAGCTTCAAGTTCGCCTCACTCCACACTCTTGGCCCACTATCCTCCCACCGTCGTCTAGTTCGAACGCATCGTGCACCGCCCGGCTGGAACGTCTCATCCTCCTGGGCACTTTTATGAACGATGGATTGTACTATCTCCGCGCTGCGACGTTGCGGAGCTTGTTCTTTCATACCCCGGGTCCATTGAGCCTTCGGAGTTTGACCGTGCAACAGACGCAGCTGCGCGAAATCGAGGCCGGATTTATGGACCAATTGAATGCACCCAATGTGATGGACTTGGAGATTCACCGGAATCCTCAGCTGACCAGTGACGGCCTTGGTGTCGGTTGGCTTGCGAGTCTACCGCATCTACGTCTACTGGATTTGAGTCGCAACCGTTTGACGTCGATCAATTTAGCCAGATGGGGATTTTCACTCGCTAAGCCAAGTTCCTTGCTCACTCTCGATCTGTCTGGCAATCAAATCGCACATTTGAAGCCCGATTCTTTTATCCGAGTATCCAACATCATGAAATTAGATCTTTCCGACAATCTTCTCACTTCACTTCCTCTCTCAGTGTTCGCTGGCTTGAGAAATTTGCGAATTCTAAATTTGCGGGCCAATCGGCTTACCTTAAGCGGCCTTGAACTTCCTCCAACGGATTTGCTGGCTACCCTACCAAATTTGAGACATCTTCAGTTGTCTGCGAATCCGTTGCTCTCCGTCAATGCTTCCAGCTCCAGGTGGTGGCTGAACAATGAGTGTCCCAGATATCTCACCGTGGTTAATTTCGCCAAAATTACTTACAACCATGCAGTCCCTCCCGACCTCCATCTGATGCTCCCTCCCATTGCATGGGACAGATGTGCTTCCCTAACCCAATTAATCCTCTCGGATATTCACAACTTACCCTGTCTCTCGCAACACTGGCTCGGAATACCGCCGCATGCTTCGGTTATTCCAGAGCGAATGCGAATTCAACCCGGTTCCCTTAGGCTGTGTCCACCCTCCTCCACTTTTAGTCCCCCCTCTGAATTAGTCACGCTTCACCCCACTAAAAACACTGTGTCCATTACCGTGAGAGTTCCACCTCCCACCACATCTGTACACACACCTCATCCGTTGGAGGCTGATGCTGTTGTCTTAATCGAATCCGATGCCACTGTGGCCACCAGTCTGTTTGGAGCGAACCCGCCTCCTGCCTCCTGGCGAAAGGAGCCACGCGGCGCTGTTGATCTATCCGAGCATCGAACTGTTCGCGTGCTGAAATTTCACAACTTCGGTCTGAAAGCATGGCTATTTTACGTGCTTATTTTTCTCCTCTTTCTCCTGGTTTCTTGCATCCTCTTTTGGGGGTCTGTCTTTTTCTTCAAACGCTGCTGGCGAAAGAAAAAAGCCCCCGTGAGTTCTCTTCGTTCTCAACGATTTCGTGCTGCACTTACCAATGGGGGTCTTCCCCACACAGCTGTCAACTGTTGCCCGAATGTATCCATGCTCCCCTCTGACCTCATGGCTCCCTTGGAACTTACTCTTGATGGGGAGAAGTCAGCTTTTTTAGCCTCCCCCTGTCACTTTACTCATTCCCGAATGCGTCTCTTCACCCCCACTGATAGTGGCATGGGTGACCTAACTCCATTCGCAACGCAGCAGTCTGTTCAGACCGGGGTGAGTCCATCTTCCAGCAGCCACGCATCCGTACGTGTACCCCACACGGGTCACGTCATCCAGCCACAGCGTTTTGTCATCCATAACGCCACTCCTATGCGTTATCACGTTCCTTCATTCACTTCACTGCGGTCAGCGCACCTCTCCCCACGGGGACTGGATTTCAGTTGCCCCATGTATCGAGCATCCTACATTGCCACACCTCCAAGGCGGAGTGGAGTCCCAGCGACTGCTTCCACGGAGGATATTTCAATCGGACCCGGTTCGACGTTCAGCGATCACCTCATGGACGACTGCGCAGTGAGTGATACAACCACCTTCCGTCCGTCTGATTACCATCAGGAATCTAAATTGTTGTAATGCGTGGCAGGCATGTCGCTGCTGTCTCTCTACTACTTCTGTCACGTTTTATCAAACGATGCACTATTTGTCGGCGAAATCGCTCCTCGGACGTGTACACATTCTTCTCTTGGACGTATACAGATTAAATGCGTTATAATCACTGGTCGCTTTTTATCGTGCTTTCCACATCTTCGCGTCGTTTGCTAATTGTGTTTTTGTGACGGTCACGAGCCCTTCACATGTTGATCTCCCAATTGCACTACTGTGCCCTCTTCCATAGAGTGAGTTGAGTTGGCGTTCTAATCTTCGTCTATCCGTCCACTTTTCACTAGCGAGAATCCCATTTGGATCCGTAATTTCTCATCCGTACGATGTGTGTTCTGCATGCCGAATCCTATGAGCCCAAAGGCTACGCTCACACGCATTCCGTGGCTAGTCAGCATCTCGTTTGCTTACCATTTCTTTCTTGTCGCCAATTTGTTTAGGTTATTCCTACCGTTAGTAACGACTAGTCCCCACTAATCATAGCCTCGCTTCTGTGTGTGTGCATTTCGTTCTGATTGTTGCCATTAGGAGAAAGTCCCCCCTCACTCTACACAGATTTAAACACTAGCTACCAACTGTCTAGTTACGCTACTACAACATCGCCTGTATTTACGGAGGATCGAAAAGGCAACATGGAGATTACAGACCAGGCGGCTGAATCGCTTGGTTACTGGCGGTCATCTGTATTGTCGATTAATCAATGCTTCTTATAATATTCAACTTGTCTATAGTCCATTCAAGATACGAACCGATCATTGACTGCGCACACGCGTTAGGCTCGACTTATTTGATTGCGCTACGGCACCAGATGCACTGTGCACAGAAATAACCATATCAATAGTAATAATAAAAATTAATAGCAACAGTAGTGTTCATAGCAATGTACTATTCTATTTGTATATATGATATAATAGTACCAATGGCAATAGTAATAGTGCAATAGCTTTTCAAGTACATGAGACACGCCGCTTTCGGCATGATTACGTTTGAACGATGCATTCGCAGTTCACATTTTACGGATTCGCAAAAGAAGTGTAACTGCGTTTCTCGGAAGGATCATTCGATTGTCGAATCATAAAGTCCGGGAGATGCTGAAGAGGATGTGGCTCACTGATCAGCCATGCCTATTTTGTCGCCTTGTATACAACAGTTGATTGGATTAATACAAGCCTGCCTTGTAATTCGAGGGCGCGAATCCGAGCCTGTGTAGGGAACGGGCGACCCTCGCCGTGTCCTTAGTCCACGTGCGACTGGTGGTGATTACGCGACAGCAAAGCGTCGGTACTGCGTACATCGGCGTACGGCTGAGGCCCCCACCCCTTTGAGCAATACTAGCAAACTCCCTTGGATGTTGGCCGATCCATTGTTTATACCTCCGAACAAAAGCTGAAGTGACAACCGTAGGATGCATAGAGCCGCGGCAAAAGGTATCTGTAAATGCATAGGTACAGTACTTGTTGCGATGCATGCTTTTCTAGCAGTATATCTGCCGGTTGCCAAAAGGATTACGCTAGTGCTCTGTAACCCAGAGGTCACCGGTTCGCATCCGAGTAGCTGCAAGTGACCTTCGCGGAACACAATCTTCGCCCGACTTATGGTGGTCATTTGGTGGCGAAACGTCGGCACAATGTGCTGACGTACAGCTGGCGCCTTTTCCACATCGCATTCCTGCAATTTGGCACATCTAGGAATGGTATTTTAGACATGGTTGATGTTCTCTAGCTCTTATGTACGCGTGACGGTCTTACGCGGTGTAGAAGGACCGGTTGGGATGTTGTTTACATGCTAGACAAGTGAGGATAGGGATTCGTACCCTTGTCTTCATCAGCCCCTATGGATACAGGAAGACACAGCGGACTAGGGACAAACGCCAATTCGGGTTCGTGCATTGAACTGAATATAATTTTCTTCATCAAATCAAGGATACCAAAGCCTCGAGATAGACATGGCCGCCGAGTAAGGAGAGAATGTATCAACGGTCAAATGAGCGGATATGCCGCTTCAGTTTGTTTTCCGGTTCAGCGTCCACATTGGTAAATGCTACTGAGGAACTGGTCAAGGGCTTAGTCTATCCATGCTACATTTTCTGAGTTTCTATAGCTAAACTCTACTTAGTATCACTGGCAGTTTTCATGTACGACTGAAGATTATTACAGATACTACATCGTATGCCATTTGGCTCCCTCGGATTGACCTCTGTCTTTGTGTTATTAAGTTTGTAAAGTTGCATAGATTTTGGTACTCTCGGAAATAAAACACACGAAAAGACGTTCAAGATCTAGTAGACGATGGGAGACGACTGCGAATCGATCATAGAATCCTAATAACGAAAGTATGCTCTCCCAAGAGTTCATAACTTCTAAAATTATATATGAAGTAATCAAGCCAGCTGGCTGGGTTAGATTTATGTATTGGGTAATATCGCCCCTGTCAAACCTGAGGGTTAACTTGTCTCCATATCTTTGTATTTACTTAACTGCTCCGGTCGATTACTGTGAAACTTTGTCTTAACGGTTTTTATACGAGTTTTCACATATCCGCTCAACACGAGTGTCCGATAAATGAGCACAAACCTGACCAGTAGGGTGTCATTCAATCACCGGTTCGGATGCTCAAAAGGCGTGCCTAGATTTGTCGAGGATAAACATTTATTTATTTATTTATAAGACTAATTTCGAGTGCATTTGGGTCACCCAGCGTAGTCAGCGGTCAGCGCATTTCTTCCGGTTAAAAATACCATTCGTACCTATCACAAATCGATTTCCAGTACGTTATAACACAGTAGTACGTAGATATGGTTACACTGGGATTTTTTCTTTGACCACCTGGGACTGCAGCTGGTGCAAAAAAATCCGTCCGTCAGCGGCAGTCCACCGGTTGCATGCTCGCTTTATTGGGCATACGATTTCACAGAAAAGGCCTATATGTTAAGGCCCATGGCGCTAATGCTATGTTTCAGTGAAACGTACTACGTTTTTTATTTTCGTCTTTTTGCGCATGACGACGATTGGGTGTCCACCTGTGCCGGCAAGGTACTTTTTACGAGCGTATACATTTCCCTCATGTACCTCACATTTTGAACCATTAGGAAATTTTGTATTTTCGCTTCAAATACACTATGCGAATCGTCCATGACCTCGTGAGGTGCACTCTATCAATTTGAATAATAGCGCAGAATCCGATTGATGTTGTGGTTTCTGCGTGCTCTGTCCACTGGCCCCTGGTGCTGTCTGTCTGCTGTAGACTATTTCAAGACACAGGCTTTAGATGAATCGTACAGCCCTAATGATTACGACACCTATGGATTATACAACGGTAGAAGAGTGGAGTGAGGGAAGCAGATTTCACTGATGTGATCTGCACGTCTGTTAACGGGCTGCATCTGTGTGCACTGTGTCTGCCATTACCGGCACTAGTTGCGTGAAACGAGTAGATGACCGGCCATTCACATGGCAGAGAGCATGGTTGGGACCCACTGAATGGTTGACTCTTTGGTCGTTACTTGTCGGCTACCTGGAGTCCTAAGGATCGATCGCATCATTGCTTAGCCACGCTTTTGCATTAATACTCTCACTTCTTATCGCTATTATTTTAGCTTTTATTATGGAGACGTGTGCAATGCTTGCACTTCGAAGCGTAGCCCTCATTAGATCCGTGGAATCAACCGACTATACTCAAGTGACTCCCCGCGCGACTTTGCAATAGCTTTTGAAATGAAAGCCCTGCGTGGAGAAATCCAACCGACAGCTGGTGCTGGTAAATTAGACCTGTACTTTCGCCAATACGCTCTCTGCTTAACTTCTCCTGCTTAGAGTGTTGCCTGTGTTTCTTGAACAGACATTTGTATTTGTCTATTTCATAGGTCATCCCTATCTCACCGTCTATTCATACCCTAAACTTGATCGAATTTCGACAAAATTCAACCCACATCACATCACTTTATCCATTATGCTTGTGTTACTGTTGCGGCGGATAGGTTAGCAGTGTTGTTTTGATGCTGTGCCCCCACACACACACAAAGATGGGACATCGCTTTCTGCTAACCTCTGTTGCCATTGATATCGGTGGTCGTCGTGTGGCATTACACTGTGTCCTTTGCTCTTCGTTTCAACGTCATTCTAATAGGTTCTTATAAAAGCTTGTATTAGTGGTCTCCCGTGGTCCACTGACATAAGCTATTGATGGGCGTTGCAAGCCGCTGGTGGTATGCGATGGATTCTCACTACTGATGATAACCAATAGACTGAAACTGCAGTCTAGTGCTTTTCCGGGCACGCGGAAGATTATCTAATTTGAAAGCAGTTGCGACGGACTCTCAATTGGTTACATCAACAAATTTCCATACTCCTGAGTACAATCTTGTTCGTTGTCTAACGGAAAGAGCGAGGAAAATATGCACGGAAGATACGCTGTCAGATGAATTGAGTTTCATTCGAGGCGTTCTGGAACGAAATGGTTATCCGGAGACACATGAAGCCAAGAGCACCAAAAGTCCAACCAATCACTGCTGAAAAGCGCTTAGTCTACTTATCACTGCCTTTCAAGGGTGATGTGATAGCAGAACGAACTACTCGAAGGCCCTGTAATGCGATAGCGAGACCCTACTTTGCAGCTGACCTCCGTGTTAGCTTCACTTATACGCCAGTCGTGATTCCGCATCTCAAGCACAGATTGCTGAGGTCGAATATTTCCTTCTGTGTGTACCATTTCTCTTGCTCGTGTCGAGCAAGTTATATTGGAAAGACGACCAGGAGACTGTCTGAGAGAGTCCGAGAACATTGCCCGTCGTGGCTGTACACTGGTGTCAGAAAGACAGTAGTCAGCGCGGTGTTGGGGCATTTGGCCGACACAAATCACCAAGTGAATGAGCGAGAAGCCTTCCGCCTATCTACAAGATATCTGGACGTCACACGCGAGCCCTCCGATGTCGCCTATTGGCGACAGCGGAAGCAATCGCTATTCGGCTCCATAAT